AGGGACAATCACATCGAGCATACGATATTAATTACTCACGGCGAATGAATACCCAGACAGAAATCGAGACAGACAGACAGACAGACACGCCTGACCTCCCCGCACCAGCAGCACAAAACACCCAGGATCAAAAAGCATTGAGTGGCCGTCCCCCCTCCCTGTGTAAGGATCATATGCAGCCGTGACCACACCGGTGCGTGGTCCACGCCACGTTCCTCTTGTAGATGGTCAGCCAGGCAGTCGATACACGCACCACACCACACCACACCACACCACACCGTGGCACGGCACGGCACGGCACGGCACGGCAAAAATGCGGCTCATCCCATCCCTCCCCACTTGACACACACGTAAGCACATCCATGCACACGGGCAGCCAGACAGACAGGGAAGCACCGGTCAGTCCACAGACACTCACTGACCGCATTCAGCACATGTATGTGTGTATGTAAGTGTGCACGGGCGATAGTCACATATCACAACACAAAATGTCAGTCAATCCATCCGGCCCCTCAGATCGATCGACCCATCAGCCAGCCAGCCAGCCACTCAACCCAACACACACCGGCACACCACACGAAGAAAAGCGCTTGAAAGAAGCGATAAGATAAACGGGCGGACAGCCGTCCAGCCAGCCTTTCGTCAGCACACACTGTCACTCTTGTGATATGGCACACCACTCACGGATTCACTCACCGATCACCATTATCCCCTCCATACCATCTTCCGCGTGACTCTCCTCTGTCTTCCCCCTTCCTGCTTGGTCCGCCACCACCTGCTTCGTCCCGCAATCCCCTCCCTCGCAGTCGTCGCTGCTTGATTGATGGGTTGGGCTGTGTGAGAACAGGCAGTGTGTTGGTGACCTGAGCGTCGTAGTCTTCTGACAACTTGCTGACGGCCTCTTTCTGCTCGTCAGACATGGCATCGAGATTCGGGCTGACACACACCAAAACACAGACACACATCACATCCACAGTGCACAGCTCCTGCCTGCCTGCCTGCCTGTCTCCCTGCCTGCCGTCCTCACCCATCTGTCGGTTTGTTCTCCGGCTCATCCTCTGCCTCATCGTCGAGGGCTAAGGGGTCGAGGGCATCTTGGTGCACCTCAGCCACAGACTCACCAGGCAGATCACCGCCCTCACACACAACTGCACACACACACGTGCACGGTCAGCATCAAGTGAGCACGTGCCGTCTCCGTGTTGTCTGGGCCCTGCAGCTCACCAGTGTCGAGGCTGAGCAGGCAGACCAGGGCCGCGAGCCCAACCAGCAGCCAGTGGCGTGCCATTAGACAGGAGGACGGCGTTGAGTCACGTGGAGCCGGGGGCAGTACACAGGCTGACGCTCCGCGCACACTCCGCGTTTTTCCTGGGCTATGGCCAAACCCTAGACGGAAGGAGCGGTTTCACGCCAAACCCTAGACCCTAACCGAGCGCAAGTTGTCAACCCCAAAACGGTCTTCTCTTCCTCCCGACCCACCAGCCGACGCGGACGACACACCGGAACAGAGCAGCCCTGCTGACACAGGCAATTGCAGATCGCGCGGATCGGCGAGACAGTCGCGGATGATGTGTCTCACGTGGGCTGAAGTGCTTACTCCGACGGAGGGCCTGGGAGACACTGCTCTCGGCATCACATGATCACATGAGAGCATTCAATGACATCAGACGCCGTCGGATACTGTTCAGTCAGTCAATCGGTTTGCATTCAGGTAAGTCAGTCATTCGATGAGGCACGGGGTCGGTCGGTGAGACGAACACCGTACCCGCCCCGACTAGTAGCTACGACACCGCCGTCCCTTTACTGCTACCGGTGGGTGACTCGCCCGCGCACTACAGCCACGCACATAACACACATACGGACAGGCAGACGAGCATTGCACGAGCTAGGCTAGCCCTGTACGGGTGCGTGTGCATGGACGAGACAGGCGGACAGCCGGCGATATAGGTGCCTCCCCACCCCATCAGTAAAGTAAGTGAGACAGCACGAACTGTCACCGAGTGAGTGAGTGAGTGAGTGCGGCTTCTGTCTGTCTAGTGAATTAATTATAGGCACATGTCAACCACTACACCCGCCCACTGCAGCTGAGCACCGCCGCCAGCCGCCCACTGGATCCTCCCTCTTGTCAGACAAACAATCCGCCACAGACAAAGAGAGGTACGTACACGTATGCACCACCCAGCACCAGAAGCAGCACAATGATCACATCACCGCCCACCATCGATCGTGAGAAATCGACGCAGATATGCACAGTGACTGTTCGGCGTGCACGTGTGGGTGATGAAAAGCGAGCTTCTCTGCATCTCTCTCTCTCCGTGTGTGTGTGTGTCGGGCACCGGCGAACACACGTCCATCAATGTGATGTGGCCAAGTCGCCGGCCAAGTCTAATTCAAAACGTGCCGGGTGAACCGATCGCTCCATGGTCGTGTGTTGGTAAGTACGCTGTCCGTCGGCTCCCTACATGCACGACACACACCAGAACCCGTACGCAGCCAAATTCAGCCAAAGTGCGTGGTGTACACACATTACATGTACACGTACATATGCGTATATAACGTGTCACTCAACACATGTACACTGTGACGTGTCACACGCACACTATATAAGTATGTGCGTATACCTTATGCACAGAGAGATATGAAAGGTACTCACGTATACAGATAGGCACATAGATAGGCCCCCGCAATCGCTCAACCGGCTGCCCCAGCTTGCTGGCACATCATCCGCCGGTCAGCCATTCGGTTCTGAGCACAAACGCGTCGCATCCTCCCGCAGCCCACTGCAGCCCATGCACAGAGTGAGGGAGGACATGCACTCGGTCAATCCACTCAGTCAGTCAGTCGGCCATCCATCCATCCATCCATAAATACACGCACCCCACACGCACCAACCGACACCGGCCACCGACCGACGACCTGACACATGTCTCGTGAGTGTGTCCTCTCTCTGATGTGCTGCACGTGTGAAGCATGGCGCGCGGTCCGGGGAGGCAAACGGGTCATCATCCACTCACATGCATCACGACACGAAAATCAGCAGCCAGTCAGACAGACAGACAGACAGTCAGACAGACCAGCGAATGAACACACAAGCAGCCACACTGACTTCACAGACGCCATCCAGCTATTCATACACGCACTCCCTACTCCTTTCTGGCCATGTGTGTGTCCATGGCTGCCTACGAGCACAAATGCGTGATTCTACGGTGTGTCCATCTCTACGTGTGTACGTGTGTGTATGTGAAGGTCTGCCTGTCTGTCTGTCTCTCTGCAGTCACGAAGACATACTGAGAGAGGGACAGCTGGACGGTCGGTCAGCCGCACCGACAGTTGGGCCACCTGCCCCCCACTCACCCACCCACTCACACAGCCAGCCAGAGGGAGAGAGGAAGCACACAAGGGAACACACACCACATGTCTCACACGCCATGCACGCACTCCCCTACTCCTCCTTACTGACCTGTTTGTGTCCACGGCTGCCTACGAGCACAAATGAGTGGCTACGGTGTGTGCGTCTCTACGTGTCAACACGTGTGTGTGTGTCTGTCTGCGTCAGTCAGGTTGAAATGCCGAGAGAGGGACAGCTGGACGGTCGGTCAGCCACCTGCCCCTCACTCACACGGACGAGTCCAATCCATCGGGACATTCACAATCACATCGGACATACACTATTAATTAACGGGAAATGAAAACACACATAGAGATCGAGACAGACAGACAGCAAGGCAGGCAGCTAAAGAGGACCGACATGCCTGACTGGGTCGCACGCAAACAGACGGGCAGCCAGACAGACAGGCAGGCACCGGTCAGTCCACAGACACTCACTGACCGCATTCAGCACATGTATGTGTGTATGTAAG